GTATGGTAGTAGAAGAGGCGGCGGACAGGGCACGTGCTGTGTTAAGCCCCCGCGTCACCAGTCACCCAGCGGCGTCACCCCAGCTGACGTGGCGGGCCCTCAAACTGCCCTAAAACCATACCAAACCCCTACACCCGCTTAGTAAACATGCCCTAAACCGAAATAATATATTTCCACGCTCTCTGTCGATGGAAACAAGCCCAAAAGGTTGAGTTCAGGGCGGGCCCGCCACGTGACGCCGCTGGTGACGGCTGACGAGAGGGGCAGCTAAGCCACTTCACCAAAAAATGATGCCAACATGGAGCGTTCCCGCTCTAAGTGCACCATTGCAAGCTTGTTTCCCTGTTGCCTTGTCCCACTCGGGCCTGGTCACTTCCACAGCGCGCGCTGCTCTCGAGCGGTGCGGCGTTGCGCCCCGCCAGGCAGCAACGGCGGTTCGCCGCCTTGTGCTCAGTGCCCTCGCTTACAACGTGCAGATTCGCACATCACGACGATCACTGTACGCACAGGCGTCGCCGACAGCTCAGAACCCTCCAGATCCAGCCTGACAGCCTGGGAGTGGCGGGGAGGGAGTGGCGCCAGGCTTCCTCTGGAAAGTCGCTGCCACCGTTTCTCCCCGTGAGTCACCCGTGTTTGATCACAATCCCTTCTTCTTCTTGCCTAATTGCCCAGCACCGCAGGTAAAAGGTTTCGAGATCGGCTGCCCACAAGTGTTTGGCACCCAGAACCGGCTGCAGCGTCCTGCCAAGGCTCTTTCACACGCTATCAACCATGCTGATGAGGCTGGGAGGCGCGGCACTGGTGGGAGCGCTGGCCTTCACCACCGCCGACGCTGCCGCCGACTCAGGTAGACCTGCGAGCCAAGGGTGAATTGCTGCTGCAGGAATTAGGTTCCCTGGGCCACCTCCTGCCCTACAACCCTGCTCACGCCCGGCTGTGCAGCGAGCCGGGAGGGCCGCCGCTACAGGCGGGGCCCTGGTACAACAGCAGCGTGGCCCTCAGCCACGATGGACACATCACCACTGTGACTATGCCCGTGCGAGGCAACACGCGGTCATCTGACGTGACTCTGCAGGTGAGCTGCAGGAGCGGTGGCTTTCGCGCGGCAGCGGAAATTCGCTTCTCCAGCGTTGTCGATGGTGCCCCCTCTGGCATCCAGCTGGCTAGGCCACCCGTCAGCGCTGCAACAGCGCTCACGTGGTGCCTGCGGAGCGTGCATGCGCGCGCGCGCGCGCACACACACACACACGCCGCTGCTCCCCTGCCCACCCCTGCCTTGTGCCGCAGGTGGTGCGCCAGGGCGGCCTGCGCTGCACGCTGCTGCACAACCTGCTTGGCAGCGGCCAGTGGGAGGTGCTAGTAATGAATGTCCTGATCGGCATGGGCCCCGGCGGCGCCCCCGTCAGCCTCAGCCTGCTGCAGCAGGACCCGCCAGACATGGCGGCGGTGGCGGCGGCGGCCATGGGCCACGGCGAGCGCATGGCCCCACCGGCAGGGCGGCGCAGCAGTAGGTGGCAACGGCAGCGCAGCAGCAGCAGCAGAGGCATTCTCAGGGAGTGTAGGTGGCTCCCCCAAGGGCAAGGCCCTGCTGGCCGACTGGGCCAGTGCGGTGCAGAAGTTCTGGCAGCTGGTGCCGCCCAGCGAAGCCATCTCGCCGCAGGCCAACAAGGCCGCCGACGAGGCGGCGGCCGCCGGCGCGGTGGGCTGCGTGGCGGTGGCCGCCACCGCCTGAGGAACGGAAGGCGAGTCCGACCCGCAACGAGTGGGGATGCCAGCCTTGCTGGGCTGCTGGCCACAGAAGGTGGGA